CTTACTTACTTACTTACTTACTTACTTAAACACACACAGTGTCACAGTAGCAAAGCTCTGTATTAAATAGGTCCTGAGTCCCTTTAGTTCTGACGTTAAGCTAAAATCACCAGGGAAAGATTAACGTCACCTGTTAAACAGCTGAGTTTTAGCATTAGACCTGTCGATCTTAGACCTGTCTGCCTTAGATTTGTCTATCTTAGACCTGTCTGCCTTAGATTTGTCTATCTTAGACCTGTCTGCCTTAGATTTGTCTATCTTAGACCTGTCTGCCTTAGAACTGTCTACGTTAGACCTGTCAGCCTTAGATCTGTGTACCTTAGACCTGTCTACCTTAGACCTGTCTACCTTAGATCTGTCTACCTTAGATCTGTCTACCTTAGATATGTCTACCTTAGACCTGTCTGCCTTAGACCTGTCTACCTTAGACCTGTCTACCTTAGATCTGTCTATCTTAGATCTGTCTACCTTAGACCTGTCTACCTTAGATCTGTCTACCTTAGACCTGTCTACCTTAGATCCATCTACCTTAGACCCGTCCACCTTAGATCTGTCTACCTTAGACCTGTCTATCTTAGACCTGTCTACCTTAGATCTGTCTACCTTAGACCTGTCTACCTTAGATCTGTCTACCTTAGACCTGTCTACCTTAGATCCATCTACCTTAGACCCGTCCACCTTAGATCTGTCTACCTTAGATCTGTCTACCTTAGATCTGTCTACCTTAGACCCGTCCACCTTAGACCCGTCTACCTTAGATCTGTCTACCTTAGACCTGTCTACCTTAGACCTGTCTAACTTAGACCTGTCTACCTTAGACCTGTCTACCTTAGATCTGTCTACCTTAGACCCATCTACCTTAGACCCATCCACCTTAGACCCGTCCACATTAGACCCGTCTACCTTAGATCTGTCTACCTTAGATCCATCTACCTTAGACCCGTCCACCTTAGATCTGTCTACCTTAGATCTCTCTACCTTAAATCTGTCTGCCTTAGACCTGTCTGCCTTAGACCTGTCTACCTTAGATCTCTCTACCTTAAATCTGTCTGCCTTAGACCTGTCTGCCTTAGACCCCTCTGTCTTAGACCTGTCCGTCTTAGAAAGGACTAATAATAATGCATTTTATTTATAAAGTGTCTTTCAGGACACCCATGGACATTGTACAACAGAAATGAAACAACTCTGGATACATAGAATGACAGGGTAGTGATGGAGAAACATAGAAATAAGAAGTACAAAACAGATATATTTTGAGGTACAGTGACCAGTCAATCTGAGTTAACAGTGGTAGGCTAATCTGAAAAGATTAGCCCGTTTTATATTACCCACCATCATCAATGAACTTGACCTTTGACCCTTTGATGCCCATATCTAATCACTGTACTACCTTAATGGAGTTATTATGCTTATTTATWAGTTAATATGTAATTTCATTCAGGAGATATTGTGCACACAAGACCACCCGTGAYGGACGGACACAGCACACACAGACAGCCAGAGGACAGCCGGAGGCATACAGAAACTATTTATTTCTAAAAGTGAAGCCATTCTTTCTTTCACATCCCAAATTGACTCCTAAAAGAACTGCCCAACTCATTTTTTTCAACAAATGATATTTATTGGTTTTTATTAGTTTTGCCAAATAAAAGGCTACAGCAGTGTCAGGCATTCAGTTTAAAACGAGTAAATATTCGAGGTAGAATAAAGAATGAGGTTTTGACACCTCTCTGTTGTGAGGATGTGAGAGTGTTTGTTGATTCACACAGAACAAAGATTACATGTTCTCACACATGTGAAGATGTTGGGTGAGGTTTGTAGTCAGTCCTCAGCTGCTCTCTTCTCTCTCTGCAGCTCTAATGTTTCTGTAACTTCACATAAAGCTGGATGAATCACCTGCTCCTGCTCTACACACAAACAGGAACTGAGTGGACCGACTGCAGAGTGTCTCTTTTTCCCAGCTGGAACACAGAGCAGGTCTTTGGAGCCAGACGCTGTGTGATTGAACAGAGCAGTGTTCCTCCGGCCCGCCTCGGTGCGTCGCTGCCAACCGTTCAGTGAGGCTGCACTGTGTGCGGAGCTCCACGTGTTCCTCTGAGTTTGTTTAATACTCAGGAAAACTGTGTGGCACCTCTGAGGAGATGAGGGTTTCTTTAAGGCATTAGGTGTCCGGGGGGATTCCACTCAGGGACACTGATGCTGTGACGACAGCAGAGCTCCCTGTTTGTCTGTTCCTGCAGCTGGGCAGTGAAATATTCTGTGGTTGCACCACGTCTGCACAGGGTCAGAACGGCAGAGGCTGCAGGGCAGGAGCACTCAGGTCACACAGTGTTGAGCTGGAACAGAACCCAGCTGTCATGAGAAGTGACGAGGGAAACTGTGTAGTGTTTGCTCAAACTGCTGAGGAAGCTTTGAGTTTAACGGCTTTCATTAGCTGCACCTTTTGCCTTATTATGTAATTAAAAATCTAAATCCAGTGGAACAATCAGCAACATACAGCCAGAGTTCACACTGCTGCAGAAAAATGAAAGAAAAAACTATTCAGATCATTTTGTTGGATMACACAGTTTGTTGTTGCTTTTTCAAATCATTCATTTCCCTCATGATTGTGTTTGAGGGAGKGGGCGGGGCTTAAAGCCTCACAATGTTAGTGTTCAAACACTGGASCAAAAAAACCTACCAGGAAGCAGTTTGTTGTACAGTGTTCACTATCAACCTGCACATTCTCTTGTGTTTTATTTTTACAGTGAAAGCTGCAGGACAAGATGCTGAATAAAAGTTGTTATAGAATAAAAGAATAAGACCTGAGGCCAGWGTTTCTGCTTTGGCACCAAAAACAGGATTTCAGTAAATTTAAAATCCAACTGGTCTAGTGAGTAAGAGTTTCTTGTTGTCATGGTTAAAAATTAGGATGTGTTTTGTAACTGACGTGGATGCAGCCAAAAACCCTTTTTTTTTGCCACATGTTGAAAAAAAAAAGAAAAACTTTTATTAGTCACTGGACAAAATGAGTTTTTTCCAAAGTGAGCTGACTACAGACAGATCAACATGTTCTGAAGGATGATTCATTAAACATAATAATAA